CTGATCTCAACATGAATACATGAACCTCAGATCATGGACCACACCGGGATTCATCCAGCACTTTGACAGCAGACACCAGCAGCCAGGCATTGGTGAGTCCCCTGCCTTAATTTGAAACTGGCTCTCAAAGAAGGAAGAGGGTGGGGGCTGAGGGAGGAGAATGAACATTGGAGAGAGGTTGCAAGGAGGGAAAAGGAATCTGCAACACCACATCTCAACACAGCTTAAACATCATCACTTTAGGTTTGGATTATAATGAAGTACTGCACCTGCTCTATCAATTTTCTTCGCAAATCAGAGCCACCAGAATAGGTCAGTAGAACAGACACTTGCCTATTCAATCTGACTTTGACTTTCAGTTGTCCCTTGGAAGCATTCTCAAGCACCAAAACCAAGGCTTTATCACAGCTCCACTATGACCCCACAGAAATTGTACGACTTTTGTGGAAAGCACAGGGCAAAGAGAGGAAGGGATTTACAATCCTTACACAGCTACTAGAACTGCTTCTGTAAAAAGAAATGCTAAGAGCAGTACAGCTCAGCAAAGCCATTCTTTTATCCAAAAATAATCTTTAACCAAAAACATACATGTAACAAAGAATATTCAGGACTGAAAATTTAGAAGTATAACATAGGACAACAGAATAGGGTATTCTGTATGACACACTGGATCCTCACATGAAAAAGTCTAAGTTGTCTGTCATTATTTTGGCTTGCGTGCCTCAAAGAATACACAGTGAATATACAAAAGGCTTCACTCCTTAGAAGAGCATTATCCTTCCAGGTGTGGCAGTATGTTTGACTAAGTCCAGCAACACAAGGGATAAGGCGGCTGTCCATACTGGATGAAATGTGAAATGACAAGGGACTCAATATATTTTGTGAAGGTGCCTTTATGTTCAATTATACTAGCTTTTAATCTGCTTGCATGTGAATGTATTTCTATGTTCAGTGTTTGAGTCATGTGGCTTTGGTCACACGTGGCAGGGTTTATAGAACTTTATACATTCCTCTATAAATAGGTGCTGAGAATATCCTGCCCCATCTCAGCATCTGACTCCTACATGTAACATTCACAGATGGAATTCCCTTGAGTCAAACAGAGCTGAATGCTTACAGATGTGCTTGCCAGATCTAACTTTTGTGCTACAAAATCTTGCCAAATCATGATTCTTTTACTAAAATGAGGAAGAGTTCATAAAATGGGAATCCATGTTTGATGGGAAACATGCTGCTGAGGAATACCATCACATTGTGAAACAGGAAAAAAAGTAAAGAACAGTTCTTCTCTTATTTTGTAGAGGCAAGCTAATCAGCTGCAGCCATGGTTATTTAGCTTTCCCCATAACTAGGACTAGCAGGACACTTGACAAGGTGAGAAAAATAACTTATTGACTACTGAGTGCTCTTGTTTTTGGTTTTAAGTCCTTGCTCAATTCACCCTAACCTCACTGCCTGAAGCTGAAAAGGGCTCCTCTTTTTCTCCCTGCTCAGTTGGCAACCCCCTGCAATGGGAGGCCGCTGAGAAGCACAAGAATCAAACAGCATTCTCTGGATGTCTTCTCCACTAAACACCCCAAAGTCACTCTCTTTGTTGTTAATGGAGTTTGTTCCAACAACAGTTATAAGATTATCCTTCTGATTGTTTTTCCAGACAAATGCTAAGTTGCCTTGTTATACTTGGACATATGTTGCTTCTTTTCCTAAAGGACATTTCTCAAGAGCAAGACCTGCCTAGGGTCAGCAAAGGGCAGGCAGTTTTGGATCGGCTCTCAGGACCCCTCAAACTGAGGAGGATTGCTGCTCACTCCTTCCCCCTCTCAGCTCTTCTGTGCCTCAACATTTTTGTCCATTTTGCCAAGTCCCTCAAACATCTGCTTCCTCCACCCCTACTCTAGTGTTCAGGAATGTCTCTGGCAAGAGCATGTGGCCAGAATGGCTTCCCCCACCTAAAACCTATTCTCCTCTCTTGGTCTTCTCCCAGCAGAAATAAGTTTATTGTCTGCAAACTTTAGTAACCACAACTCAGATCCTTCTGTCTCTATCCCCTTTTCACTGCACAAGACCATATCAGTCTCCCAGAAGAGCCTTGATAGAGTATGACTAGATCTTCCTCTTATCTGTTCACTACTTTGCTTTCAGTGACTGTTCCCCAGATCTCTTCCTTTTAGTATCCACAGAAGACCAGTTTTCCTCCAACCACTCCATGACCTCCTCCTATCTTCTCCTGAGATTTCCCCACAGGTCCCTGCACATTTTTTCCCTTAAGCTCTTTTCTAAAGAAAATACAGAGAAACCTTTGTCCTAAAAAGAAAACAAAAAATCCAATAACAGACCATCTAACCAAGCAATCCCCACAGAACAAAATGGAGAAGAACCAACTCAGAAAAATACTAAGAACTCCATACATGGTATTAACACCACAGTGTAGTTTTTTGACACCACTTCCACTTAAAATCCTCTCCAATCTCACCTCCTCCCTCACATTCAATAAGGATGTTGTCATTAGCCCTTCAAACGATTGTTTCCTAGACATATCACACAGTCATTTCATTTTCATGCATTCTATGTAAGCACTTCACAGCATATGCTCAAATACTTACCGTCTCATACTTTCATTAATGCTGCCTCAACTCAATTGCCTTATTTCTTTAACTGATCCTTTAGACAGACACTAGATTCTTTTCTCTAGTTTTCTGTGGGACACCTCCGTATCATAACTAGATAACAGTTTCTGTAACTTATTTAACTAAAATAGCTTTCCCTTGTGGTAAGACAAAGTCAGTTACAAAGCCCCCTCTTCTAGCTTTGGATCAGAGGTTTCCCCCTATGTATGTCTCAAGTTGCTCCTCCTCTCTCATTGTGTTCTTTTCAGTTTTTCTGATAGAATGAACACATTACCCTCTTGGTTCCTAAAAGACTTCGAAACGTCAGGATTAAAACAGCCATACGATACCAGACCAAAATTATTCACTTCACTCCTTGCCCCCTACACACAGTGAAACTCAAATGAGAGGCAGGAAGGGGTAAACAGTCTGTGAGACCAAGGGAGCTGGTCTCATCAGACAACCGCACCCAGCTGTTTTATATATGGGACAGGAAAAGGAAATTAGAAGCTGGAGTTGGAGGACAGTTCTCCATTCAGAAGCTGAATGCAAAAAGGCTGTTGTATTAAAGGCTGTTGTATTAAAGGCTGCACCTTGTTTTTACTACATAAAGATTTGAATAAATAGGAAGCAATACTTCTGTTACAGGGAAGAAAACGGAAAAGTGTATTTATTTATTTCCTATATGTCTTTTACTCTGAATATGTTGTACCAGAATATAAAAATTTGAAGTGATTCTGTTGGATTTACCTTTCCAGTTCTTTTGCTCAGTGCTTATCAGTTTTCCTTCAAGAAGTCAACTATTATAAAGTACAAGTTGCCTAAATAGACACCTCTTATAAGCCCTGTGCAAGCTTCAGTCTTGACTCAATGCCAATTTAAATAATTCTTCCAACCTGAACTTCACCCACAGGACAGTGCAGCTTGCCTTGCCTCCAAGAACACTTGCACTGAATACTGGAAGCCTATCACTTAACAAGCATGGACTATCAAACGACCATTAGAGCAAGTGGTGATTTTTCTTGGAGAAGTGTTTGGGGAAAACATTACAACTACACTCAACTTTTTAGCTCAGCTGATACCAGAAGAGATAGTAAGAAAAACATATCTCCACTCTTACTCTCTGTATGATGTATCCATTTCCCTATTACAGGAGTAACTTCTTTCTTCTAATACCTAAGCAAACATACTGGTTTACAGCAAGAAGCTCTGCTCACAAAAGAATAGGAATACCAAGTCACTAGCTGCAAGGACAAAAGGTAGCTGATACAGTTGCCTTTAACCAGTTTCAGCTCAAGAAAGACAGCGGTCACAATGGTAATAAAGAAGCAGTAGCTTACCTTTTCTGAGGATCAGAGCTCCCTGGAAACTCTCAAAACAGGCGATCTCCAGGGCTGCCAGCCCTTAAATGAGCTTAGGGAGGGGTGGACTCTGGGTTGCCCAGATGAATTGCTTGCACCTGTGCTCCCAGGGCTGGCCACCCCCCTTCAGCAGGTGCTCAATCACTGGCTCAGGCTGTGAGCTAACGGCTGCCACACACCTGCCTTCCCACAGTTTTGGTTAGGCACAGTTTGTACTGCAAACTATACACAACTTGGAACTGCCAATCTTGGCACGATTTTCAGCAGAACTGCTATGAAATGAAGCAACCTCATTTCTAAACCTCATGACAATCTATAACTTCATTCTTATTTTTCCTTTCATTAACAAAGAGATCTTGCTACATTTTATATCAATCGATAATGACTAATGGAATCATACTTCACACCACTGAAATCAGAAGTAAGTAAAAAATGGATATGGAACTTAGTGCAATCTATTTAGAAACTTACCATCACCACACTAAAAAAAACTACACCAATATACTAAAAAAGGAACATAATGACTGCAGACCTATTTCATGGACTCATGGTTTCCCTTTTTATCATAAAATATAATAATGTAACTTTAAAAAAATCTGTTAGAAAACTTTAATTTCTACATTTATTTACAGAACTTTTAGCAAAATGCGTCTACTGCATAACTACATTTAATTACAACAGCATTTGGCATGTATGAGAGATGGACATAAATATTTTTACTTCCTTCTCATTATCATTGCCTGTTTAATGGGTGTAAATTGCTATATTTTTTCTTCCAATTTTGTCATACCTAAAGTTCAGAATTTCAGGTGTGAGATTTTTTTATTGTTCTTGATGCATCTCATTTTTCTTGCAGTAGATGTTATCCACTACATTTTTCATTCCACAACATAATTGTAAGCGGTTTCCTTCATCTGCACATGCCATCTATAGTGAAGATGCTTCTTTCCAGGTTTGAAATAGCTAGTACAAGCAACAAAACAAGTGGCTCTGTGTGATGTAGGTGTCTAGAGAAGTCCCTTGTTGCACATACCTCAGGGCAGTTTCACACCAGCTCAATTTTGATGGAGCTCCATATTCTACAGGAAGACTTTGGCACACAGAAGATTCCCAGATTTCATCTCCAGTAGTCTCAAAATAAAAGCATTGCGCTAGGAATGCAAATATTTAGTTATATTCCTGTCAGTGCTGTATATTGTCATTTTGTCTATTTTTTACTATGGTGGTTTTTTCCCTTTTCCCTGCATCACACCATGCCAATGAAACTCGTTATTTCCAAGTGTTTAGTGTCCCCAGAATATGAACAGAGCACGTGAGCTGCAAATGAGGATTTCTTCACGTAGAAAGGGATTTGCTTCTGAAAGCTGCCTTGCTACATTGTTAACTGAATTACCTGCTTTAAGAAGGACTTCACGCATAGGATGAAAACACGAACCAACCTCCCTAAATATGTCTTTAAGGACCACCTAGTGGACAAACTTTATACAGCAGTTTTATGTAATAGCACCTCTGCCCTACACGCGCCTCTCTTATGGAAAAAAAGAAAATAAAACAAACCCATGCAGTATCTGTGTGGGAATGTAAAGGAGAGGAGAAGAAATGCACTCAGATCCTTGCTATAGACTGTTAGATAATGTTCACTTTCTCTTGACAAATGTCAATAGAGAAATAAATATTTGCCCAAATTAAAAAAACAAAGTATGCTGATTTTGTTGCTTTTTGTCTTACATGGAGAAAGACTGGAATTGATGGATGTTTAAACAAAAATGTCAAAAACTGCTTCTCTCAGATATGTGTAAAAATTCAAGAAATATCTGCTTAGTTCTAGCAGGACTACATTCTATAGTGCTGTATCTTCAGTCTCCCATCCACAGTGAATTGTAAGACAGAAGCAAGGAGCATCTATATTAAAAACTAATGATGTAAAAAATATCTTCAGTAATAATAATCTAAAATGCTGGTAACCTCAGACATGGTGCCTTCCTCCATTATGGAAATTTAAAAACGTATTTTCTCAATTCAACAGTATCCACATAGTTAGCAATACACATTCACCCTATTACATAAAGCATAGCTGGCCATGTGAAATGCAAAGCTATTGCCCATGTTATAAAGATGTATTTGTTTGTGTTTATTCAAAGATTTCCTCAATTTATCTTCATTCAGATTTGTTAAATATTCATGTATTCACTGCAGAATCTTGCATTTTTCCTTATTCTGCACTCAGACAAAGTGTTAATAAGCGACCTCAACTACATTCTGCATTTTTCTGTCATTTGCTTGTTTCTAAATATACCACGAAGCTCTTGCATGCAGCCTGATAGAAGTATTTTTTCCTCTCGTCCTCTCTGCCACTGGCACAACGCAGAACATTTTGTAAAATAGTAAAAAAGAGTTTGATGCTTTGTGCCACTTATTCTGCTGTCTTGAAGATTCTAGAAACAGGGCATTACTGCGGGGCAGAAATGCAAATGATTTTTTACACAGCATTCCCTACCACACTTAAATGATTACATTTGTCATTGTTTCTATTTAAAGGATCCCTCCCTATAACCAGGACTGCCTCTATACCACTCATATGGAACAGGGCTGACTAATTCAGTAAAAATGTTTGTGCACAGGAGTAATATGCTTTAATGGAAATTCACACACATCAAATTATTTCCGTGGAATATTCCATTGCTGAAGAAGCAGATGACAGAAAAGCATCATCATGTTTGAAGCTGGAGCCTTTTGTAAGTGGAAAATACACGCTTCAGCAGCTACCTCTTTCTAGAAGCTGAACTGTACTAGTTTAGTGTGATAGACAATTTAGAATTTGAACAGGTTTGCTAATGAAAGTAAAGGCTTTCAAAAAAACATCACTGCCATAGATAGGGCCAGAATCCCCTAAGGTCTGTCTTTCTTGGCCTGGAAGCTGTTTTCAGATTAGGGTTCTGCTACATAACCAAGGTACCGCTGTTCTTCTACACAGATACTGATTAATCTGAACCCCGAAAAATGGGAGGCAGGGAGTGGGGCAGCGAATCCCTGACTCCAACATTTCAGGGCAATTTAAAGATTCAGCTTCCAACCCAGTCCAGCCCAGCTGAACCCTACCTTGCAGCAGACTGATGGGATGTCAGGTGCCTCTTGTAAACCTCTGCAAAGTTCATAGCCCCTTTACCCTGGTAAAGGGAGGGTAAGGGAGGTTGGCCAGCTGCATTCCAACAGAAATGAAAGGCTGGATTTTACCTGTGGGATTAAAAAAAAGATACGCACGTTCTAAATTTTGGAAAAAAAACTTCCCCAAAACAACATAAAACAACACTCCATTTACTTGAAACATGGAGCCAGCAGATGAGAACATGGAATAAAAAATGACTATAAAAAGTCCAGAACAGTTGCACTGAATACAAACTGAATAAAGTGGGAAAACAAGCTCATTTGAAGTCTACTTGATACTGAAAGGGTTTCTGTATGAATGAACTGCAATTGATGCAGGAACATGGGTGCTGTTGAGATCTTTGCTATTTTTACATAAGACATATGAAATAATTGAGATTAAAAAATTAAGCGTAAGGTGCCTTAACAAAATTCCCCATTGTACACAGTCTGTTACTATGAAGCCTCTACTAAGTCTGCCACCTTACTTTAGTCATGCAGAGGCTAAACTAAACACTACAAGCCTCCCCACAGTCCTTCCTCTGAGGGGTCATGATGCTGCCTGTGCTCCACAGCACCTCCACCTAGAACACATGCTCCTCAGCACATGTACCCTGTACTGGAGTTTAGAAGATATCTACAAAGCTTATTCCACATTCTCTACATCAAAGGAATCCTTTTACTGCAAAACTGAGACTTTTATGACTCTTTTCTGCTACATTAAAGGGCCTGAATTGAGGATCTTTAACATTCATGTGAAGGACTTCCTTCTCTGCTTACTTTGGGTTAAACAAACAACTTATTTTTATATGGCCCTCAAAATCAGCTTGAAAGCACCAGAAACTCAGCTGCCACAAGCTGTATTCTGCTACTAAGAGCAAAGCAGATGAAGACTTTGACACCTGTGATCTTATTTAGAACAACTGTGCCCAGGACAATGGCTACAACTGCAGGTTAACAAGTAAAGGAATCTCATTTGCCTATACAAATCTAATTCAGCAGCCTGAATTATTATCATCTGATTGTCACCCATATAAAGCAGACAGATATTATCTTGCTTAAAGCCTTCTGTCACCCGTACCATTGTACTGGCTGGGTTAGCAGAAGTACAGGAGAGCCATTCTACCTGTCACAGTTTACTCTGATTCAGGATGGATGCATCTCAGGTGAATGATCACATTGCTGCTGTTCATGTTTTATTTATTCGATGCATAAATTCACAAACGAAGATAGAATTAACTCCGAAGAAGAACAGTTCTCCGTTGAATTCATATCTAATCTGCCAAGTAGAGAAATGGATACAGATTCTTGAAGAAGGGATTGGCTTCAGTAAGTCTCAACTTGTAGCAGCTGCAGATACTTTGCTCTTTATGTGTTTACCAGCGTTGGGCGACGACACAAAATGCACATAGCAATTTTTGAGACTCCAACACCTTTTCTACAGCAGGGTTTAGAACATCCATTACTCACTCTTAAAACATGGAAATCACCAAAGCTGTTACATGTGGCAGTTTAAACAAAACATAAAAACGAAGGAAAAATAATGAATTCGCAGATTCCTTCTGGTACACATTTGATGTTTCCCCATAGCCTGTTACACCTGTCTGCCCACACCTCTTACATAAAGTTAGCAGGCCAGGGGCAAACAACTCCAGTTGAACCTGTTGGCTTGCTTGTTTTTAAAGATATTTTCAACTAGTGGGTATCCTAGCTAAATTCTATCAAATTTATACTTGTACTGACCATAAACACACAGGTGCAACCACCAGGGATGATTTAAGCCTATCTAGACAGGCTTGTCGTTGCACACCTGCCAGCAATTTGTTGCCTGAGCAGCTCACTACTGAGAGTGCGTGCCAATGTATGAGGAGGACAAAATGCACCAGACTCCTAATCTGTTTCTGCTGCTTCTGTTAGATGTCTTCTCAAAGATTCCCAGTGCTTCTTGTATCAGGGCTGCTGGTATTGACATCTGTAGATTTGTCAGCTGAACTACAAAATTTTAAAGCCAAATTTAACAGCAGTTTGCTATGATGAGTTCCATTTGCTCCCAAGGGGATTCCCAGCTCCCTTTAGATGTCTCATTTTATTAGGGAGATATAAGACTTTTCCCCCTGTAAGATGAAGGGCTGTAATCAGCTATTTTGGAAAGTTCATGGACTGAGTAGGCAAGGAAACAGGCAGAAATACGATGAAAGCATCATATTTCATATTATCACACTGCCACTATTTCCTGGTAAGGCATCACAGACACATGGCACCTGGCTGGTGACAGCTGTGGCTGGGAAAGACCTTCCGGGGCACAAACCAGGGCTATACTCTATTCCCCTCCTCCTCAGTTTATGGAAGGAGGAGGATGTAAATGAAAGGAGAGCTCCCATTTCTGGCCTCTAAGGGAGGTAGCATCCTAAGGAAAAATCCCATGCAGGAAAGTTAACAGCCTGCCTTCCTGCCCTAAAAAAGTTTAGTTTGAGCTAAACTACAGCCTTTTACCATATAGTGATCAACCAAGATGATACTGCATTCTGTGGAATATAGAATGAATACAGAATTATGTCAGAAATATGCAAAAAATAAGTTTTCTTAAGGCATTTTCAAAGATGATCATTTCTAACAACATACTTCACTTGAAAAACGTTCCAGAATATGACCAATTCCTGAAGCGTTCATTTCTTATCAGTTCCATCATTCTGAACATTTCAAAAAGAGCCTCATAGAAGCTAAGCAGCTTTCCTGTTAAAAACTTGATTCTGTACTGACTTTATACAGAGTCTATGTTTTAACATCAAAACATCCACATGGAAGTTCACATCAAGCAGATTTGAGCTCTTTTCCCATCTAAGGTGTTGAGTATCTTTCACCTTTGCATGCAGCTGTCACGAGTCACTTCCATAAACTTCTCATCTCCTAATTTCCACTTCCATTTCTCTTCACTACTTTTTATAAAGCATTCACAGTACTCCTGCACGTCATAGCTGCAAACAGCAGTGTCACAGGAACGTATCTAGCTGTGTGGTCCATTGCTAATCAGTAGCCCCAACCAACGCTGTCCCTTTCCCAGTAACAGACATTTCACAAAGAGGGAATGCCAAACATAACACGGCACTGTGAACCTGAACCTGCCGTGCCTTGCCTCACGGCCCATAGGGCTGCTCTGGGGATGGGCAGCAGGCAATGCCATCACACCTATTCACCAGAGGCACCTTCCACACCCAGCCTGGGGGCCAGCCTTGGGGTAACGTACAGCACGGTTTGAGCCACATGAAAGGACCAACAGTGTGCTCATTTCCCCAGCGTGGACTCCTGGACTCCAGGAAAGAAAATAAGGGCAACCTCTGGGTATTTGTGCCTTCCAGTACCTCCTCATCTCTTGATTTTGGTTTCCCGGCAGCTGGGAGCGCTCTGCCACTCCTACAGCTGCAAAATCAGTCTTCATCTGTGATTCCTAAGACAAGCCCTTGCTCAGCATTCTTACCACTTTTCTGTCCCTGATTTGATTTTCTCTGCGCCCCCAAATTCAATTTGCCAGCAAATTATATCAGCTGCTCGCAAAGCCTAAAGCACGCTCTGCACGCTGCATTCCTTTGCGGTATCAACGCTCTTCAAACCCGCGCAGCCCCGCTCGCCACTGCCGTCGCACGGCTCCTCCTCGCATGCAAACCCGTGGGCAAGGCTTTCGGTCAGCCCCCCACCCCGCCCGTGACGGCGCCGCTACACCGCCGCGCGCGCCGTTAAAGGACAAGACGCATTCTGACGGACGGCGGTCACCCGAGGGTTAAACCTCGCCTTAGGGCAGCAGCTTCCCCGCCCAACACCAAGGGAGGCGGCGAGCCAAGATGGCGAAGGCCGCAACAACGGCGCCGCTCCTTTTGTGCAGCGCCGCGCGCCCCGCCTCCGCGCCACGGCCCCACCGTGGGCGACACCCAGCGGCGGCGCGGCGCAATGGCCGCCTGGCTGCGGGCATGGCGCGCGGCGCTGCGGCCTCGGCTTCTGCAGAGGCGTTTTGCTTTTCGGTGAAAGCAAAACCTCCCTTCAGGCCGGAACGGCTTCTGTCCAATCTGCCTTCTGCTGAGCTGGCGACCGGGGCTCCCGTGGCGTGAATTTCGGTACTCTGTGGCAGGGGCTATGAAAGCCGACCACCGTTACTATTTAGGGTATTTTCCTGTATCTGCTTAGATTTTGTATATTTGATCTGACAACAATGTGTTTACAGTTGGATATTCCATAAAATAAAGATACTTATGATCTAGACAATGTCACACTATTTTGTTAATCTTCCAGTGAGCTGTTTATAACATGTAAAAGTCCCTCTGAAGTCACGCTTCAGAAAAACAACCTGCTGTGTTTAAAGCAGCACTCTGAATGCACAGTCGCTCTTGCATTGCAGAGACAAGTTTTTGTATAAATGCAATACCTGACAGAGCCCTGAGGCGGTGTATGCTACAAGTTGGCATTACAGATGTGACTGACCTTATTTCCATAACATAAAATCCTTGCGTCTTTCACACGTGCCGAAGTGAAAAGAATGGACTGGGATGGGGATTATGAGCAGTATGTGCTGATGGTCTGCAGTGGGCATGGAGTGCATGCTGCAGGAAGAACATGAACGGATTACTTACGCAGCAGTTACTCTTAAAATCACACATTTGTAACTGCCAGGAGGCTCAAAATCCCCGTGAAGTTTGATATCAACTCTGATCCTTATTCTCAGAGGAAATGGATTTGAGAACAGTGAGTTTAACCGAGGAGTCTGCCTTGCTGTCTCACCCTCCATTTCTACAAGTCTCTGGTGTCTAATAATGCAGCTATTCTGAATTTCAGTTTTCCATAGGAAAAAACGTCCTCAGGTGACAGCTCCATGCATCACTGATGCTGCTCTCAAACTTGGTTGTTCTAAATGTGGATCAGGCTCTGGCTCTGGCTTCTCTTCAATAAACTTTATTAATCTGGCACCGTTTCTTACTCACATATTAGGGTGGGAACTGTTCCATTGGCAAGATTATGTCTAAGTCTATACTTAACTGCAAACTACTTAAGCTAAATAATGTCTCTGTCACTTATGGTTGTGTCAGCTGCATCCCAACTTATCCAATGCTTTTGACCCGTACACTCATCTGTAATATCTTCTATTTAGGTTAGCTCAGCAAAGAAAGAAAAATAGCATAGGGTATGTGGTTTTGTTTTTCAAGCCTATGTAAAGCAAAGCCTGCTTTGCTTTTGAGGAACCTCTGTCTTCTGAAGTTTTGCTTGATTTAGTTTCATTCTGGCACCTGTGAAGAGTCGTAGATTTTCCCATGTCGCCTTCCATTTTCAGGCAATGCAGCATATCTTCATACCTTTCTCGAGGGTTTATGCATGCCTAGCTAACCATCTCACGTTCTTCTCAGTATTTTTATTCAACATGTTGTAAATCATCTTTCCATTCTTTTTAAACAATGTCCCATGTAATTTTTTCCTCTATACTGGCATCAGATGCAGGGAATATACAGCACCAGCCACTTTGTGCTAAAAGGCACACGTACTTTTCTACAGACTTTCATCCTAGGATAAGTGGAGAAAGATAAATATGTACCACTGATCCTTTCCCTACCAGAGATATATATAATAGCTAACAAACTGAAAAAGGTGCAATTTGTCACTATGCTATGGAAAATCCTGAGATTTTTCTTAAGTTGTTTTTCTCCTTTGCTTCCCTGATGAAGACATTCTCCTGAGGAAGCTGTAGAACATAGTTATACCAAGTAATGGGCTTCTGTCTTCTTCTTTTGGCTTTTCTGTCATTGTGAATTGACTTACGATTCTTGTACTGCACTGGTTTGGGCATCACTGTCCAACATGAAGTAGCACATACTCCTTTTTCTGTCAGGTAAACACTTGCCATCGGCTGCAATGCTGTCTACCACTTGGTTGAAAAATTCATCTGAATGTTTTACTTTTTAGTGCATACCCTTCTGATAGCAGCATGCACATTTTGCATAGGCTGGCGCTTCCATGCTGTGTGCTATAATACCTACAGCTCCACATGCCACATCTGTCCGAATAATCACTCCTGTAAAATTGCCTTTGATCTTAGTATATTTTTTTTCTATGACAAATTATTGTGATTCAAGATGATTAATTCTTGTGCTGTGTCAGTGAGGTTTTTTGTTCCCAGTCAGTCTTATCAGACTCCAAATAACTCTGCAGCAGTTCTTCGCAAACTTTTACAACAAATGTTTTGTCATTCTGCTCACATGGATACAGAGTCCAGAGAGAGCGGGTTTGCCCCTTCAGCCCGAGCTAGGACACTTATTATACGGAAGGAGCACCCAGCTGCCTCCAACCACACCCTGAGTTGAGGCACTAAAGATAAGCCATGATACTGCACTAACAAGTGAGCTTGCAGAGGTGCAGGATGAGGATGTAAGGCAGGGGTTAATGGGGGAATGTGGTAGAGATCCTTAATACACAGAGTGAATTCATCACTGTTTCTTCTTTCTTCTCATGCTGTCAGTGTGAAGAACTGTAGTCCATATCGCAGTCATTCTGTAGGATGTGTGTGCTTCATGGCTGTCTTCACCTAGAACATAAAGAATATGAAAATCTTCAGAGCCATAAATAAAAACAGCTTGTCTTCTTTTTTTTTTTTTTTTTTTTTTTTTTAAGGTTTAAAAGAAGCAATTTCACTCTGTTTCAGTGAATTCTTAATCTGATGTCTACATTAATAGTTAAAGTCTTGTGCTGCCTACTTCATAAACTAGATGACTGGCATTAGCTTTTGAAAAACTATTTTAATATGACGGGTCTTGAGTGTCTAGATGCTACTGTGACTTGATAACAATAGAGAACAATGATACATGTAAATGTTTGAATTATAGAAATTATTTCAGACCAGTAGGGCAGAAATGGCCATCTTCTCAGCCCTGCCAGCTTATTGAAATTGGTCATCTTTTCTTGCTTTTCTTGTTGCACAATAAATGCTATTTACATCTAATTTATTATAAGCACATGTTGAGTAATAGCCCATAAAGCTTTTGGAGATTCTATTTTCAGTTACATTGTACTGCTGCTGAATAAGAAATGTGATTGCTGAAATTTGTTTTCAATGGTACGTTGATTAAAAGCTGCTTGAGTTTAAAATTCCAACCATCTAAAATGAAAACCCTTCACATGCTTCATATACCCGGCCAGCCAGAGTTTATTTTCCTACAGTGTATAAATAATGGATTTTACTGTTTATACAAATCCATCATCGAACGAGGTTGAATTCTCAATTGGCAGTGTGAATTGTCTTGCAGAGAAGCTAACTAGCTGGAACTAATTTTGAGATGGGTATAGTGCATAATTATGGTAACCTAGTGTACAGGTATGTCTGATGTGTAACAATATGTATGAAAACAATGCTGAAAAACATAGCTGCCTGGTTATAAGCTAAATCTATTAGAGTTTAGTGATTTAAATCCCCTTACTTGGCAGAAAGCAAGTGTCAAAGATGAATGTATTTCACACTACCTTTTCCCACGAAGACTATGCATAACCACTTCCAGCAGCTTACAGAGCTGCCTCCAGAGAGGTGAGGAAGGTGTCCACAGAAAAAAGCAAAAGCATTAAAATGAACTTTATTTTTTTAAACTTACTTTAAATCTTTTAGGTTTTTTAGTACCAGGGTGGCTTGGGAACCATCTGGTTAAACTGTTTACAGTCAGCCCGGTGACAGCTAGGTTTTCCAGAAGCAAGGTGCATTTTGAGCTAAGCACCTCACAGGCAGGTGACCAGCAGGATGTAGCAGGGATAATGAAAGCAGCAGTGTTGGCACCCATGATGGGAATGTCTGTGGTAGCAGGGAAGTTTCCAGCAGAAAGGTTCAGCAAAGATGTGCTGAGCAGGTGCAGTACTGTAAAGAAGCTGGTGAAAATCATGGAAGGAACTACAAAGAAGGGAGATAATTTAAGGGTATTAAATACAGAAAGACTTGACCATCATGCTGCAGTTTGAGGATGTCTGAACTAGAAAGGGACTGGGGGAAGGGACGGAGCCTTTGAACACAAAGAAATTTATGGACCTCTGAAAGCAGAGATAAAGATAAGGCCTTTCAGAGATGCCTGAAGATGAAAGACTCACAATTAATCTAACTTTGGGAGATAGATCTAGCTAAGGGAGCTGCAAGATTTAAACTTCTGTAGCTGCTGCATGACACGTGCCATGGTGTTATGCCTCCCCAGATAATGCTCTGTAGCAGACTCCACACCTTGCCATGCTTACATCAGTTCTCTGGTGTTGGTAGCTGGCATGAGGTTTCTGATATAACCACAGTAGTCAGGCTTTTTTCACCTTTAAAGAAGAAAGCTGCACTGGCATCTAATATTTATCTTGAATATATCTCATCAACAAAGTCAACTGAGCCACTGAAAGCACTCTGTGCATATCAGGTGCTGATTTGTTATCTGCACACAGCGGTAAGACAGGTGCTGAGAATTTCACCACAGCCATCAAGTAATAAAAGTACTTCTGTAACAGCAGCTATTGTTTATTTCAGTTTGATGAATGCCAACATAGCAAACAGCACAGAGAGAAACACAAATAAGAATGCAGCATGTTTACAAATACAGTCATTTCTCCTATGCCAAATTCATCTCTGTGGAGAAAGCAGAGATGCAGGCTGCATCCTGCTCAGCTAAACTGGGAGGGATTAGAGAGGTCACTGGTCCACACCTTTCCAGTTGTGGACAGTTAAACTGTAGCATGTGTTTCCTGAGGGATTATTCAGTTCTGCAGTTAAAAGCCACAAGTAAAAGCTCCTTGTTGCTCCACTGGGGAAATTAATCCACAGATTATACTAATTCACGTTCAGGAAGCATTTCTTGATACTTGATGCATGTTTTGGCTTTTCGGTCACATCTCCTGACTCTTAGCTGTTCCCTGTGAATCCCACTGAAAAATGCCTTTCCTTCACTGGTGGTCTTCTTCAAATATTTGTAGGCTGTTATCATGTCCTCCATTAATCATTTCTTAGCTGAGCAATTTATATATTTAACTCTTCTAATCTCTCCTCATAAATCAATCCTTCTAGTCTTTGGATCATGTTTGGTGCTCTTCTCTGAACTCTCTAATTTGTCAATATCCAGAAATGTGTATAATATTCCAGATGGAGCTATACTAGTGCCCATACAGAATGCAGTTATTTTTTCCTTTTGCGGTGATTTGATACTCTTTTCTCTCTGCAGTACTGTAGTGGCCTTTTCACACCATATCATGTTGCCAATTCATTTAGCATGCACTATCTCACTTAGATCTCTTTCATCATTATTGCATCCCAGATTTCTCCTTCCTGTTATTCCCTCTCAGATGCCGTCCTAGCCTGCAGTTTTTCAAAGCTGAGTCTCATTTCGTTATTTTCTTTCCACGGTTCTATCTGCTCTAGGAAATTCTCTGTTATTTTCTTTGTACACTGATCTTTCGTTCTTTCATACTTGTATTTGTGAGTTCATCAAAGTGCTGTGCACTCCCTTTTCCAGCTCATTAATAAAGAAGTCAGACACAGACCGTTCCTAGCAGTCACCCACATGGTAGCCAGGAGACACTTCCCACCACTTTACTACATTGCAGCCTACTTCCTGTAATTTCATTACAGTTTCATTGAAAGCCATATGGAAATGGCCAAGGCAGTGTGAATTGCTTTTTCAGCTAAGATCCTGTGAGACACATCATCACAGCTTTATGAAAGCTGATACACAACGTGTTTGCTGTAGTTCTCTGTCCTTGCTACAGGCTCTACAGCCAAAGCTCACTGAAGTCAGCAGTGACTATTAGAAACTGCATTTACAAGAGAGTGTCTGGATGCAGTACCCTTGCTGTTGTAAAATTGGTAATATGTATCTTTCCCTCTGCTCTATCTTTTTTCAGTTCTTTGGCTTATGCAAGGTGAACATAAATTAGTTTAACTAACTCCTGTAAGCCCTAACAGATGCAAGCTGTCCAGGTTTTTTTTTGTGTTTGTTCACATTTCCCTTACGTGTTCTCTTGTCTATCATTTCTCAGTTGCAGGGTTTTTTTTTTAATTTATTATATATATATTTTTTTAAAGGATTCTCATCCCATCCTCCCTCAGTGCTCCAAGCGTTTCTTTGTTTTTCCCACTGAGGAAATATCTGAAAAGGAACTTGGTGTCAGAGCCATTTCATTTATTCCTTCTGTGTGTGAAAGGATCTGTTCTCACTAGCATTTCTTTTCTTCAAAGAATACTTCTGAAAGCCCTTAAAAGAGTCAAGGTCAATCTCCTTGAACTCTTTGGCTAACAAAGTTTTGCAGTATGTTTTTTTTTTCAGTTGCTTTGGGGGCTTGGAGCTTTTGGGAAAAGATGTCTTTTGTTTTGGGAATTCCTTATATCTGTGTTTTCATTTCACTTGCAACTTTTGACTGGCCAAAGAGTCAGAATGATTTCTTTTAAATAGAGTTCCATGGTATATGTAAGGAAAATGAAATATTTGTAAACAAACCTTTGTACCATAATTGGATGCGAGCCCTATTATTCTGAAATGCTGGTGAAATGATATTGTTTGAAATAAGCATATCTGACCTGGATTTTTTATGGTAGACCTTGAAAGTGGATGAGAGTATATCTAGTTATCCTTCGTTTCATCATTTCCATGTATAATTATAGTTAGTGATCTCCAGAATAAGATGAAATGGAGTGATTTTACATTCCAAATTACACAACTAAAGAAATCATTAGAAACATAACCTTGGATGGCAGTAACTTCTTCAAGTAATTGATGAGAGAAGGAGCAGAACATGATAGCTATCAGAAATGAGTCTTGGCTCTCAACTCAAAATGGAAGCAAGAAATGCAATGAAAGACCAAATTATGTCTCATGTAGCCTCTGTGACACTTCTTTCAGTTTGAAAGATTTTGGTAAGTGATAAGTAATCAGCATAACTGTCTTGGAGAATAGAAAGATATTGCTATCTCTCTTATTAAAGATGGGCAAACAAAAGGCCAGGAGTCAAACTGACTGTATGGCATGAATCAGACCTATAGAGACAAATCTCTTCCTTCTTCTGTTTACAAGCTATTTTAACAGTGAGATTAAGTATCTTTCAAAAAACAAGCATAAGAAAAGCATGAAGAAATAATTTTGGATTTTCAGGATCTGATGTGATAATTCTTTTACATTTCTAATACTTGCCATTCTGAGATATATAGATAGGCCATATTTCTCGGATGCTGGCAGGTTCTGTCAGCATCTAAGTTTTTATTATTACAGACATTTTTACAATTAATTTGATTGCAGATAGGGATTGCTCTTCTGGAAAAGAGATTCCTGTGGAATACATTACAATGGTTGCCTGTAGTCCCCTCAAATATGCTGGCTGTGCACTGTAGACCAAGTAATTGGCAGAACAATTGTTTCAGCCCTCTGTATCTTGTCCTTTTTTTTTTTTCCACATTGTGGCATGCAGTTGAAGTTCAATACAGTGTATGCAAAGTCTGCTATTGATTTTAATGTGCTGTGAATCCGTGGTGCATGTGCCAAATGGACTCAAAACAAAGCATGCTTGGCCTGAATTAGCCAATAATGT